GCCCAGAACACAGGGAGGAACATTAGTTACCCCGGCAGAAAGAAGCCAGGCACCAGAATACATGGAGAGGACACAAATGCAAAGCGGACAGAAAACACATAGAAAGGTAACCGGGTAACCGTTTGAACACTGAGTATAGCTCTGCTTTAATACTGAAAGCCCTTCAGTCTCCCTTGACTCTGCAGAATTGCTCTACCCTACTCTCATGGAAGCAATAGGGAGTGGAATCGGAATGCAGCAAATACAACTTTTAATATGCCCAACAGCTTTGTGAAAAAAATTCATTAGAGGCTTCACGGAACTGCAAAGTAATTACATCAAGAAGTCCTTTATTACTGTTCCAGATAACTGAAGATGCCTTTATTTCAGCAAACTTCTCAAAGTATATTAACAATTTGGAAACAAACAAAATTCTTGAGTAAAAGACATCCCAGTGTCTAATGAACACATTTTCATCTAGATCTTTCTAAAAGACCTGACATATTTATTATTAATACTCTTTATTAATAATCTTTGTCCTCACTTGAAATGTAATTCCCTGGAAACTAGCCCCAGCTGAATCTTTCACACTCTGAGAATAACGTTCCTTCAATGGCAAAGTGACAGATATTTAACTGATATGAGAAACGTTAAGCGGACAGTTATGCCTCTACTGCATTTTGACTCAGCACTTGGGTTTGAAGTCCCAAACACTCCAGGGTGGTCTTATACTGGCTGGCCTCTGCAGTGCCACAAGGAGGGAATATTCCGTGTGTCTTTCTCCGTGTATTTGACTGCACCTTCTTGCTCCCCACTTGGGACGGTAACGTCTTCAAAGACTGGCCCTTAATGCTATTGCTAAATACGTCATTTGGGAGCACGGATCTGATGCTCCGATTCGTGAATCACTTCCAGCCATAAAAACTGACTTCCTTCAGTGCTAAACTCCCCTGTACTTTAACAAAGCTGGCTGCTTGCTTGGAAGCATACAGAAGAAATGAAATCGCGTATACATCCCGGAGGGAAGGAAAGATAAAATGATTGATACTATATTCAGAAAGCTTTATATCCTGGGTGGGGTTTCTTTGCCTTCTTTTACACCTTTGAACCAAGAATTCAATAAAGGGGCAACATCTCCATCCCATACGCTTGGCATTTATGGGAGATATCATAATTGTTGGTACACTATTTCGCTTCCAACCTGAATTATCCTATGACCCTACTAAAAGTTAGAAGGGAAAGTATTGCTTATGGGAACGAAAGGAATTGGGGGTTATAATTAGACATGAGTTTGAATGGCAATAGTTTCCTGGAACGTTGTTGTGTTTATCAGGCTGCTCAAAATAGCTTTCCCTTCAGCTCAGGAGATCCCTCTTCAGGAAGGAGATTCTCTGATGTCTTTCAGCATTCAGTTTTGCCTGAACTTTTCTTACACACCTGCTTATCGCTGGGGTGAGATGCAGGACAACAGTAAGATGTCTGAGTTAGTTGAATCTGATGGACAAAGTCCCCACTCATTTTATTACCTGGGTTTCCTCTACAGCAAACTGGCGACTTAATAACCTTGCATTACCTGTGCCATATGATGTAACACAGTATTTTCCCCCATACCCAATTTGAGGCATATTGCCTGAGAAGATGAAGCCGTCGGTGTAATAATGTTTCAATGACATTAGTCGTGTCACTATTTGATTGCAAATCCTATTCTTGCTATAATAGACAGTGTTGATTACTTCCTCACTTAAGGCCTTTTATAAACTGTTAGGCAATTGACTGCCCTGATTAAAAAGGAACACCTGGTAAACTGGAAACTGCACAGCTCTGAGAGGCAGCAGAGCCTTCTGTGATACAAGCATTTAAAAAAAAAAAGGCGACACTAATCTTGAGCACTGATAGAACCAGGTTCTCACTTTCATCGAGGTCAGGGCGGGGGGAGAAGTCCTCTGCTTGCAGCCCCTCTCCCCTCCAAATAATCAGACCAATGAGCCTGTCAACAAGCAGTCACTACCCTGGAGTGGTCGTCTTGCATAAGGTTGGAACCGACTGCTCGTTACATCTAGAGAAGCCAGTGCTGGCTTTGCATGAGAGACAATCAAAAGTATTCTTTTTATTACTATTCTTCCATGGAGGACAACTAAATATTGTAATCATGCCACACACCCACACAGACAACCCTGGCAGACAGTTAATGAGTAAGCTGCTAACTCTTTTAAAAAGGCTAAGGATACCCTCTCATTAGTAAGGCCTTGTATTCTTAAATCTAATTGCCACACAATTCCTAGGGGACATACACTTCACAATACAAAGCCCCACGCAACCCCCATGCGTTAGAACTGACCACACGATGCAGGAGGAGAAAGTGAAGCAATCCTCTCCATTTCTTCTCTTCCTCCCTCCCCAACACCATATCTGCTTAGAGTTTCTAATTACAGTTATTTATGAAGAAAATAAGGTGCAATTGTATTCACTAATGAGTAACACCAGAAATCAGAACATTAGTCTGTGATTCCACCTTGTAACTATTTGCATGACAGCAGCATGATACTATACTCTTCACCAAGTAACAACTCTTCTAAGCTCTCTGTAAGTCATTTGCTTGTCTAACTTGAGTAATTTTTGCTGGTCACTTATTCATATTTTGGATGCTGCATATTCTTATGCTCTGTGGATGTGGTGCT